ATACATATGTATATGTATATTTATATACATATATATATATATGTATGTATATATATACATACATATATATATATATATGTAAGAGTGTGTGTGTGTGTGTGTGTTTGTTTTCATTCCGCTGGCTATCTCTAGCACAAGCCTGCCAAAACCAGAGTCGAATCGCGTGGGATGGGCTTCCTATTCATTGTGCAGCATACCTGTAGCCGCGAAGCACAACGTAGTTCTAAACCCGACGTACCTGCTAAGCCCTTGACCCTACACTCTACACCCAGTGTAGCCCCTACTATACTATTTTGGGGGCTCCTTATTCTAATTATAGCATAATGGGTCCACAACCCGATTCTAATTATCAAGGCCCCTAAACCCTACCGCGTTCTCTTTCCAGTGACGGCAAGCGCGCCACGGTTTTGGCTACCCTGGCCGTCCTAGCGGCTGCCGGGGAGCTCGGGGAAGTTTAAAGGTGTAGTTCCTTTCTGGAATTACCTAATAGGTTCTAACTATGAACCCGAGAAAGGAACTACTATGGGGCCTATGGGTAAACACTGAACCGTTAAATCGTACTTACAAGGTTCTATCGGATTTTTGAAGGGTTTTTAACTAATCCGGGCGGGAATTTTGGTGTTCGTCGAGGGTTTTGTGCGTGCGGCTTTGGGGTTTAAGTTTTAGGGTTCCGGGTTTTGGATTTTGGGTCTAGAACCCAAAACCCTAAACCCTAAACCCTAGGCCGTTAAAAACAAAAAACCTAGGCCTTAGGGGTTTAGAGCTTAGTTGGCTGTTTTTGATTTCCTTAGCAATGGGATTCCCTTGGCTACACTTTCAAGAGGTCTCGCAAGTTATGTAGCAGGCTAGAAGAGCTTACAGTTGTGTTTTTGTTCGTGGGTTGTGCGAAGAAGCGTAGGAAATTGATAGTTAAACCCGCTGTCGTTTAGGGCCTCAGCACTGGGATCCCCAATATCGTTTCTTTTGAAGGGAGTCGGGGTTGGCGAATCGGCGCTCACACCAGCTCTCAGCATTTGGTAGGTTTTGGGCTTATGCGTGTTGCTCTGGAGGGTTGTCGTGGGTTGTCTAAGATCTTTTTTTCCTACGCCCCCAACCCTAATCTCCGAATCCCCAAACCCTCAACCCCAACACACCGAAACCCTCTAAAGCCCTAAACCCTAAACTCTAAAGCCCTAAACCCTAAAGCCCTAAACCCTAAGCCCTAAGCCCTAAACCCACGGAGGCATTGGCCACTTGGACGCTTCTGGGGAGGTGCCGGCCAACCGCTGACAGCTGAAGCTTTAGCAGTATCAGTTTTACGGGCTCTAGGGTGTCACATGGTTTTCGGGTGTTTGAAGGTATTGTTCAGGTTGTTTAGGGTTGCTATACCGTGCCGTTCATGTGCTGTAACGGTTCTATGAGGGTCTGTTACTGCTTAACAATAGCTTGGCAAGGTGCTGTACGTCGGGTTGCTGTTCGAGAGCCGGGTACAGGATGAGCCCACTCAAAGATAGCACGGTTTTCTTTCCCGAAAAGAAGAAAAAGAAGGCACATATGCTCTACGACTTAAGCGACATGCTTTGGTTTTCGGGTCCAGGCTTGCGACGGTAGCTTCATTCCCGGGTGCTTCCATGGTGCTTCACGACACTGACACCTTCCCTCAAGCACTGAGAGGTGCGCAAGGCAAGTGAAGAGGTTGTGACCAGCGGCCACTTTATGGCGACTAAGGCTTGCAGCGTTTATACTATAATATAGGGGC